AACAAACGTATGACTAAAACACTGTTGATGGTGACAGCGATCTGTATCATGGCATGGTTGCCCAAGGTCATACTAGGACTTTTASAACAGAACGGACTATACAATTATATTGACCAGCCAAGGTACACTGATATTGCCCATTTTTTAATAATGTTGAATTCTCTGATCAATGTTGCTATTTACTCYTTCCGAATACCGGATTTTTTTAATGGACTCAAGAAAGTATTTTTTTTCTGGTAATCGTCTTTGAGTAACTAACTGTGATTTACTCAYTTTCATATGGAAGGACGAAGAAACTTTACTCGGTTGTACACTAAGAATCAGTAATGATTGTAAACTAATTATATAAAATGCTCACCTTGTTTTTAATCAGAAATCAGTTCAAGTTTCAGTGACTTAATTTATAAGGTTTTTCACTATCCTTGTGGCTAGCTTATACAAACAAGCGATCGAGAGTAAAGGGGTATTTATATAAGAATCTTATGGTCGTAATCTAATGGTCAGTCGGCATCCATTTCGAGCTTTTGTTTGCATTTTTCCCCGAGGTAAATCGTAGCGATATCCAGATGAACAATTGTTGAACTGTTAAAGAAAACAAAAAAACTTACCATAACATTGTTTATCATCACTGTCATCTCGATCATAACATGGGCTCCAAATGRTATCAAAGATTTATTGCTTTCAGATGAAACACAACAGCAACAAATGACGCTGAACGTTTTTCCCAGGGACAATTATTCTAGTCATCTATATTCTTTTCAAACCAACTTTATAGCACATGTAAATTTCTTTTTTATTTCTTATAATTTTTTTTTTACAACCTACCGTTCAATAAGTCAAATAGAGTAATGTTGGTTGGACTTGAACTCATGGTACTTTTGTTTCATCAACCAATTTTGTCTTGGTTCACCAAGCTTTCGGGACTATTAGCCCATCCTCAGGGTTACAATGGCATGAAGCATAAAAACGGTAAGAAATTTACGAATACAAACATGAAGCTTGGTGAACAAAAACAAAATTAGTTGATGAAACAAAAGYACCATAACTGTTCAATAGTTAATTGGGAATGCACTTTCTTAAGTCAATATTCAGATGACAAAATATAAAAAAACAGATCGGAATCGTTTGATGCATGACAGAAAATAAGATAGACCTTATGAGAAACATTAAGCGAAATGTCATCTGTCACCTGACCAAACTGATTGATATTAGATCTCTATCAGAAAACGAAATCTGTTTTCAGAACGAAGTTAATTGCTTGGCTATCCGGAAAGACAAGATCACAGATATTTATCAGAACTCCAATGAATTCTACATCGTATGATATCAGAATAGACGATGTAGCTGTTGGCATTTTCATTGGATTTGAAATAATTAGTATTCTCATTTTGGTTTTGAACTGTTTGGCACTGAGGGTGTTCCTCAAGAGACGTTTTTGGGCCAAGAAGACAACATATCTAATTGTGAGCTTGACTGTTGCAGATTCTCTGGTAGGATTTGCAGTGGCGGTTAGGATTTGTTTTATGGCTGGATCCTATAAGATGATTTTTATTTATAAAAAAACTGTATTGGTGGCATTTTCAAGTGCCTTATCATTTCTAATGATGTTCAGCCTCAATCTATCCCTCAATTGCTTATGCTCTATTGCCATGGAGAGACTCATTGCTGTATTATATCCTTTTCGTCTTCG